CCTTAGAAAATGCTAGCTCTTGGTTTTTGCTCTTTTTTTTTGATTACAGGAAAATAATAGAGCAGTTCTGCTGCTGCAAACCGAGAGAGACCACGACAGGTCAGAATATTTTTAACTCTGCAGCTTCCTATTTGAAATCTCTGGGCTTATCTTGTGAATCACGTTTGCCATCTAACAGGGTTATTTAGTCCTAGCAGGAGCACTAGCACGCCCCAGTCACAGCACCCAGCCTTGGCTGCAGCCAACACCCAACGCTTCTGAGGAAGGTGAAAAACCAACCGAGCAACAACAAAACCCCTGATGCCTGTAGCAACAGGAGGGGGAAAGTCCTTCTCAGCTCCACGTGGCAACCAGCAAATCCCAGAAGCACGGGGAAAACCCAGAGGCCTAGGTAGCAAGGTTTGGAGAGAGAGGGGGAGTGAGGAGGGGAGGGTGCCAAGGGCAGAGGAGGAAGGAGGAGGGTGAGAGTCTCTCCTGCCCTGGGGTTTCAAAGTCCCTGGCTGCTGCTGCCACAGTGTGGTCTGCCTGCCCAGATGTTACAATGAGGTGTGGGACTGCTGCTGCTGTCATGACATGGACTACCGGGGGTGGGGGGGCTGCCATCTTGGTGCCTAGGGCTGATGCCTGCTCACCCACCCCTTGTTACACTACTAGAAAGCCAAAGAGTCTCCACTTTGCTCCACAACCTGGGGACAGCCAATGCAACTCCATACTCGCACACCCTACCTGGAAAGCCAGAGCTCTCTTTTCTGTCATCCTATCCCCTCCATAAATTTATCCCACCTCCTTCACTCTTCTGTCATAGAGCTGATCATTGATCACGATCTGCGTCGTTCTACTTCGCTCTACTGCTACTGATTACTTCCCATGCCCTAAAAAAGGTGCACTATAGCTTGGTGATGCGTATGGGAAGGGGCAGGAATTTAGAAGATTCATTTTGTGGGTAAAGTGCTAAATTACTGGATTAAAAAGAGGTGGAAGTGGCAATGGCAGCTCCTTTTCTGGCAGCATTTTGTTTGGAGCACCATCCCCTAAGTGCTCTGAGATCACCTACAGGATGAGAGAAGCTAAGAATGCCAAGTTTTTTGGATAGGTATGTCCAAAAGCAGAAGTTTAGGCATCTGGGGACCTTCAGGAAACTTCAGTGTTGCCACAGTTATGTGGGAGCTGAATTAGGGTTTTGAGGATCTAAGTTTTGGACCTAGATAAGTGCTGGTTAAGGGCATAGAGCCACGTAGCCTCCTTATTTATCATGTATACAGGTGTACGGTTAACTAGTGCTGATGTCTATATGTAAGGATAAAGGTAACAGATACTTTGTAATTCTGACGTGGTAACCCCACTCCACTGCAACTGGACACTAACACTGTGGAACTGAGGATTAAGTTGAGTATTGAAATGTTTGGGAGGTGGAGTTGCTAAACAGGACCCCTGAGAGAAACCACAGGCATGTTCCATGGCCCAAAATATTGACACCTCTCCTGTCTCCAGGTGGCAGGTGTAAAGTAGGTCTGTGCCCTCCGGCACTCTGTGCTGCCATATACTTATATACTGGTAACAGAGCTATCACTTACTGGAGGGTCACTCCTGCCATATGCAGAAAGCCAGGCTTGCTATTCTTGTACCACTTTTATCCAGGCCTCCCAAACGTGGGGTCTAGCTCACTCACTCATTCCTCACACCATGCCAGCTCTCTCCCCTGACCTAGAGCCAAGTCTCCCATCACACTCAGGGTGATGAACACATTATGCTTGTATTTCCTGCTTTTCAGAAGTATCAAGTTCGATTACCTTCAGGGCCAACCTTTTGCCCCCAACCCCTCTTACCAGTCTGCGCTCATTTTTTGGTAGCAGGTAGAGGGTTCAGAAATCTGGCTCAGAAAAGCAAAGCTTATTCAAAGATGGCTCACATACAAGGCCAGGGAGAAGGACTCAGAGTGACAGTGCTTATACCGTGGACAGGGAGACGGCTTCAGAAAAGGCCAGAGGAAGGAGTATCCCCCTACCTTGGCACATGCAAATGAGACAAAGGGCTTCCTAATTCTCACCTCAGGTGAGTAAGGAGAGAGACCCAGCTGTTTCTAGAAAGAAAGGACACCCCCATGCTCCCTGCACACAAAGAGGATAAGAAGGGCTCAGACATTCAAGAAGCACTGTTCCCCAGACACCGGCATACACGTGGGAGAAGAATACATAGAGCTAGCAGGCAACCTCATCTTATTTCCTACCTCTCTGCCATTCACCCTGCTGTCCTCCCTTCCAGGGCCCACGCCTCCCTTCCCTTCTCCCTCCTGGCCTGAGCCTGACCTGTCCCCCTTCCCCAACCAGTTGTTCTCATTTACATGCCCTTTCCTTGCTAGAGCTTCAAGCCCTTCTTCCTGATTTCTCCACCATTTGCTTCTCCTGCCCCTCCCAGAACATGTATTTTCTTTTTTTTAAATAGTTTGAGCCCCTCTGAGCTTTCTGCTAGTGAGATTCCACTCCCCGCAAAAGAAAAATACCCCCCCCCCCCCCCCCCTTAAAAAAAGACTTATGGC